ACCGGCCGCCCATCAGCGTGCGAGACTGGAAACAGCAAAAAAACCCAAAACAACTAATACATTTTTTTCCTTCACTGTTAAACGACAAAAAAGTGAACCCCCCCCCACCCCAAAAAAAAAAAATTGGTAGTCCAACGTAACTACATTACTCAATTCCTATGATTGCAAAGGTCTTCTGCCCCTATCAACCTAATTTAGTTCATTTCAGAGGCACGGGCTTCAACACTTTTCCATCAATTGGGTCTGAATAGGTTTTTCCCAATCTGTCAATCGGATTTCTCAAAGTGATAAGTTGTTTTGCCTTTATACATTGTGACGTCAGCGCAATAATGCGCAGATTGGCAAATACACAAACTTATAGTCGGCGCAGACAAAGATAGTACATAACAAGATGGGCCTCTCAGCCAAAAAAGTGTCCGCAGGAAGTTCGCTCTTTGCTTCAGATGGCGCTGCAGTCTGTTTTGAAGCTCTCTTTCGTTTTTCCAGAAGAAGAATAGGAATAGCACCTCCTTACGTGCGCAGATCGACTGCTGTTCATCAGCAGTTCGGGTTCGTTCAGTGTGGAGTTTTAGGTTTTTTTATTTTGATGACCTCTCGCCTTTCGCTCTAAAGTCAAATTAAACAAAGAAAACAATCACCCTTTCTTCCGGAAAAGGTTTTTTGTCAGCGTAACCATTTTTAAAAAGCGTTCTTCCGAAATGTATTCCAAAACTTGCTAGTTTCACTTAGATTTTTTAAAACACAAGTAGGGTAACTCTGTTCGCAAAAGGTGCGCATTTGCGAAGAGGGCACCACCGAATTTTGAGGACACTTTTTTAATTGGCTCAAAGAGAGGAGTGGCCCCTCTTGTTATGTAGACTCTTTGACGCAGACTGATGGAAAAGAGTCAACTCCGCTTCCATCAAGACCTGTCTGGCTATATGTAAAATAGAAGCCAGCAGACACACAGAGGCACCCCTCATGAGAGCGTGCACAAATAGGACTCACTTCTGCGCAAGAAGACAAAAAGACCATCTAACAGTCAAACCTGACCTCTCCAACTTTTTACCCATTGTGGATTCCCTACTCCCCACTTCTCTTTATATCTTCTCATTTCTTACCTCCTTCCCCTACATGTATTTCTCCCCCTCCCTCATTCTCTCTCCTCTCTCATTCCATCCCCCCCCCCTCCTGTCTCCCTCTCTTATTCCCTCTCCTTCCCTTTTCTCTCTCTCTCTCCCATTCCATTTTCCCCTGCCCCCGCTCTCAGTCCCTCTCCTCCGCCTTCCCTCTCTCATTCCTTCTCCTCCCCCCCCTTCTCTCTCACATTCAATTCCATCTCACCCCCTCCCTCTTTCTCTCTCAGTCTCTATATCCCTTTCCCCAACCTGCCTTCTCTCTCTCTCTCTCTTTCTCCTCTCTCTCTCAATCCTTCTCCTCGATATATCTGTCATCCCCCACCCTCCCTGCTCTCTCACCATGACATTTCCGCAGACTTTGGTGATCTGCAGCGCTAGAGGGATGACATTCAGCTCATACATGATGCGCAGGGTCAAGGTCGAGTCCATCAAGGTCAGCTCCACCAGCTGCAGCAACTGTTTGCTGCTCCTGAGAGGAAAAAGGACAAGTATAGAATATTTCAGTTTAGTTTCAGTAAGATTTTTACGGCATTTCAGTGATGCCACTCAACTTTTTTTTAAATAGGTGAAAATCCACGCGCTGCGGTCTCGCTAACATATGAATATCAATTTGAAACCAAAAGGGTGTACATAGAGAACTATAGATTCTATCTCGACCTCAATAACAGAATAGCGAATCAGGATCAAAATACCGAAAATATCGGGAAAAAGCGGGAAAGTGGCAGCCCTGCATTTGCAACATATGTAGGTAAAATAAGTGCGGGATAGAGTAGAGGTTTCTTGTTCTTGTAAGAGTTTTACGGCACTTGCAACACAAGAAGGTCATATAAGTGCCGAAGATTAGAGGTGTTACAAGAAAGTAACATACATTAAAAAGAAGGAGGGCAGATAGGGACGATAGATTTTTTTTATAGGAAAGAAGGAGCAAACCACACCAGAGCACCCGCCAACCACCCACTAGTAGAGGTTTAACAAGAAAGTAACAAACACAAAAAAGGAGGAGAGACAAGGACGATTGGGATGTCTGATAGGAAAGAAGGAGCAAACCACTCATTTTGGGGGGGGGGGGACAGAGAGAGGGCGGGTCACCCTCAGGACACAAAGTTCTACATAACAAGGGTAGAACAACGACAGGGTCCATGTAAAAAAAAAAGAAGAAAACTAAACGTATTTCTTCAGGAACCTTTCTTAATCACCATAAGGCGAGTTTAGTTTTAGTAGAGGTTTTACAGCGCTCGCAACGGCATAAGGTCAAATAAGCACCAGAAGACTAGAGGTATTACAAGAGAGTAACAAACACAATAAAGAAGAAGGGGAGATATGGACGATAGACTTTTCATAGGAAAGAAGAAGCAAACCAAACCAGAGCACCCGCCAACCAGCCACACTAAATGTATTTCTTTAGGAACCTTTCTTAACACATTACACCCTAACTCACCCTGGAATTCCCTTACGCCCGCGCCGACCTAGCGTCTTTAGAAACGAAGTCTCGCCGGCCGAGATTTTGATTTGCATAGTTATAGCCAAAAGTTCTTATTTCATTTCATACCGAAACGAAAATATTTCGGGCCAGTAGTTTTAGTATTAGAGCTGATCGAAGTGCGATCGCGTTACCGACACTTCGAAAGTGTCTCGACTTGTTGAAAGGCGACACAATTGAGTTCGAAAACGGAAATAACGATGGATTTGAGCAAAAACAAGCATATGACAAATCAAATGACTCAGATTTTGATGAAAACGTAGCACAGAGTTTGGGGCAATTCAGATTGATCAGACGGAAAAAATCTAGAATTCAGATCTAGGGCCCGACCGCAGGCTGAGAGTGAGAGTGACGGGTCGGACACCCCGATTGAACTAAAGTTAGAACATTTCCAACAGTTTGCGCATACATAAAGTTATATTTTTCTGAAACTACATTCAGTTTTCTTTTTAACTTTTATTTTTTCACGATTTTTGGAATTTCTTCAGTATTTTTAAAATGTGTTTTTTAATGGCCTGTATTCACAGGAGGTGGGTTCCTTCCCCTTGCTTAGGATCTAACAATGGACTCCCCGTCCAGGCCCTCTGGGTGTAATGTGTTAATCACCATAATGCGACTCCACGACTTACGAGTACATTTCCCGCACTTTGTCGTAGTCCACCTCGGCCCGGGCGTGCTTCAGCACCTGACTGGATAGCTCTGTGAGGTCGTAGCTACGGCAACGGATCAGTTCCCGCGCAGAGATCTGGACGTCGCACATCATCCGCCCACACACGGCCGACTTTTCCGCAAACGTTGCCCTGCCGTGGTTGTGCTGGGAACATATCGCAAAATGCCAAAAGTCAAGGTCAGCTCAGCGGCTATTTTTTTGTTTGTTTATTTGAGTGAAGAAAAGTTTATTTGTTTTTAGTAAGATTTTTACGGCATTTGCAACACAATAAGGTCATATAAGTGCCGAAGGTGTTACAAGAAAGTAACAAACACAAAATAGGAGGAGAGATCAGGACGATAGATGTTCGATAGGAAATAAGGAGCAAACCATGCCAGAACACCCGCCGAACCCCCCACGAAAAGTTTATCAATACAGAGTGTCCGAAATAACATTAATAATATTGAATGGTTTTGTGTTTTTAATAAATAGGAAAATTGTATTTTTCAAACACCCACATTTCCACGACACAATTATGTCTATGGCAATTTTGTCTGGGCAGGGAAGAGGAAAAGTTTTTAGTTTTAGTAAACAGTTTTACGGCACTTGCAACACAATAAGGTCATATAAGTGCCGAAGATTAGAGGTGTTACAAGAGAGTAACAACAAACGTAAAAAAGAAGGAGGAGAAATAAGGACGACAGCTGTTTAGAGGAAAGAAGGAGCAAACCACACCAGAGCACCCACCAACCACCCAAGAAGAGGAAAATCAGGAATAATAATAATTAGCAACTGAAAGAGAAGGCACTTCCCAAGAGAGAGGGAGAGGGAGAGAGGGAGTGAGAGAAAGGGAGAGAGAGAGAGAGAGAGAGAGAGAGAGAGAGAGAGAGAGAGAGAGAGAGAGAGAGAGAGAGAGAGAGAAAGGGAGAGGGAGAGGGAGAGGGAGAGGGAGAGAGAGAGAGAGAGAGAGAGAGAGAGAGAGAGAGAGAGGGAGAAAGGGAGTGAGACAGAGAGACTCAGACAGAGAGACACAGAGAGACAGAGAGATAGGTAGAGAATGAGAGGTTGTGAGATAGAGAGATCGAGAATTTCGGCTCAGTTCAAGAATACGACACAGCCAACGTGTTACACAATTCTACAAATCTGACACGGCAGAGAGCAAGAGGAAGACGCGGTACTGTAACGGTACTATGCATACAGATACTCACTGTAATCTTGGGCATTCTGGTTCTCTTCAACCGACTGATTCTGGACCAGTGAGGAATTTTGTTCACAGTTATTCTGTGCAAGAGCAGGTCAAGGTCAAATCCATAAATGTCATGACCCTGTGCAGCAAAAAAGACAAATCTAGGTCATGAAGAGTGGGGGTGTGTGTGGGAAGAGAGAAAGACCAAGACTGCACTTCTCACACAGACAGAAAGAACAGGTCAGCAATCAAGAGCAATACCAGAAGTGAGGTACACTACAATACAACAAGTACAATCAGGCTCCTGTCATTCTTTCCTTCTATTTGAATTAAAACATTCGTTAAACCTTTTGTTTTAGTTAGAGTTTTATGGCACTTGCAACACAATGAGGTCATATAAGTGCCTGCCGAAGATTAGAGGTGTTACAAGAGAGTAACAAACACAAAAAAGAAGGAGGGGAGATAAGGACGATAGATGTTTGATAGGAAAGAAAGAGCAAACCACACCAGACCATTCACCAACCACCCACTGTTAAACCTTATGCCATTAAACTTTTTCGACATACCACTACACTCCCTTTGCACTGGCACGCACTGTTTCAATAATAATAATAATTATAATAATAATTATGACAATAATAATAATAATAATAGAATACATGTATATAGAGCTCTATCCCAAACAGGAATTATGAGCAATAAATATTTTTTTAAAGCAAATAAAAGACATAGTCACAATATAATATAAGTCACAATGTAAAGATCTAACTAATTCGTACGTGTTCTTCAATATCTTCATAGCTTTTCAATTCTTCATTTAATCAGCACCTTCACAGACAAACAAAAAAGCGACGTCCTGCACAGACACAAAGAGATCCTCCTTTTTCAGATCATTATATTTATTCCTCACTTCATTGACACACAATAATAAGAATAGATAGTATTTGTATAGCGCAAACCCCGCTCAACAGCAAGCTCTATGTGCTTCACAATCTATACTTGTCTATTACCCCAGCAGACCTGAGAGCATTCTGAAACAACCTCAACTTCCTGGGAAGCATACACTGCAAGCTGCAGAGCTGAGAGCATTCTGAAACAAATTCAACTTCTTGGGAAGCATACAGTGCAAGCTGCCATATAGGCGCTAAAACAAACAAGCTACGTCCAGCACAGACACAAACACAGACACACAAACGACACAAAACTGACCACTAGTAGGTCCGGGTCTGCCTTCTGGATCTTGGCCAGAAGACAAGCAATCAGGCCTCTCTCCGACGGCATTATCTCCACCTTCATGCGGGACGCCTGGGGAATGACCACAAAAAGAAAATGTTTTTAAATTTTGTTGGTCCAAAGTTAAGAGTATCCAAAGTTAAGAGTATAGAGAAGCACACCCACACAATAAAGGCCATTTAGTGCTGGGGGAAAGTAAGACACACACACAGATAGAAACAACAGAGGGAAAGTAAAGAAGTAGTTTTTAAAGTTTTAGTAAGAGTTTTACGGCACTTGCAACACAATAAAGTCATCATAAAAGTGCCAAAAATTAGAGGTGTTACAAGAGAGTAACAAAACACCAAAAAAATGGGGAGATAAAGACGATAGTTGTTTAATAGGAAAGAAGGAGCAAACCACATCAGAGCACCCGCCAACCGACTGTCCATACGTGGTGTTGGAATAATAATATAATAATAATAATAACAATAATAATAATAATAATAACAATAATGGTAACAACAATAACAACAATAATAATAATATTATAATACACAACCTCAAAAGCATTCCTAGTCAAATATCAGCACGGGACATCATCAGTAAAGGGAGGAAAAAAAAAGATGAAAACTTTTGATCAAGTTCAGAATTTTTAGATGTACACAAATCTGCTAAAGGTTTGTTTGTTTGTTTGTTTGAGCAGGCGTTTTACGGCACCATCAACTCAGTTTTTGTTATAATCTTCTAAAGGTGAGATCCGAAAGCAAACCACATTCCATGAAAAACTCAGTACCTGCTTCTTGACTTGATCTCTGAAGTCAAAGGGAAATATACAGTCGTCTGGTTTGGATATCACTGAGAACAAAAGATAAAATAAGATGAGATAAGATAGGATAGTACTTTATTATCCCAGAGGGAAATTTTCCTTGGCTGTACAGGACCGTAAAAACACATGCAGGTATACATTTAAAAAATATATATATATGAATGCCTTAGAGTATGATGGGAGAGAGCTTAAGTCGTCTGGTTTGGATATCACTGAGAACAAAAGATGTCAGAAATATATGAATGCCTTAGTGTATGATGGGATAAAGCTACAAAGAAGAGACATTTGGGCTTTGAAGCAATTTAAAGAAGATACCAAACAAGACAGACATACAGAAACCAAACAGCGGTGGTATGAAAAGCACAAGTTAAAAAATGTTTAAATTTTTTGGCTAAACACAATATTAAAACAAAATTGATTTTGATCGAGATGAAGCT